TAATATGGCTCCCCGACACCCTATTCCTGACGGCCTGATACGGATCCCATACTTTTTTAAGTCACACACATAAGTAGTACATACAAGTTTTGTTGTTGTTGTTGTTGTTGTTTTTTCAACTCTTTGAGTCCCAAGGAACGAATCATACGTTCATAGATTCCTATCTAAAAACTAAATGAACGCAAGATGCGCCGATTTTACGTCTCTCTTGACTACTATTTGGACCTCTGATGCTAAACCGCCTGGGAATCAAAGAGTTAAGAAGAGTTAAGCAAAGAACCCTTTTCTACGCCTTCAGTCCTATTGGGCCTTTAAGGCTAGACCAAAATTGTATAGACCAGTCGGCACTCCGTGGGTGATGTGGTCTTTACCTGGTGCCCATTTAATGCTGGGTCGACACAAGTGTCATGACTAGTAAAAAAAATAAAAAGTTCGCTCTGTCAGGACCTTAACTCACCACTTTCGGGTCCGCATGCCAGGCTCTAACCGTTACATAACGGCTGCTCGATGAACAAAAAAGAGAATATAGTTTATTTTCCCCCTGCTTTATTTCTTTTTTTTTTTTTTAAATATGTAATGATATCACGAATATACAATTGTTTTCCTATTTGTAGAATATTGAATTAAGAATCGACAGCAAAGCACTCAGAACACGTCCATAAGCGCTCCATTCCTATCTTCAGCAGCAAGCGAAGAGTTAAAATTCCGATGGTACTAGTAGCTGTCTAATTGTATATCCGTCTTGCCTTTTCCCTGAGTGTTGAGTGTCGGTCAGATCCCCTTGTAACTCCTCGCAGCGCCATTCTTCTCAGACCGTAATGATCTATCTGTTCCTCGGCACTGTTCACTCACTCCCAAAGGGCCCTCACAACATCCAGCTTATCATACATCAGTTCACCACCAAGTGGTGCAGAACCAGCCAGTCTATCTGCCTGCTCATTTCCCAACACACCGGCATCACCTGAAGAAAATATCCAAAGGATGCTAACTACCCGGGACCTTTCAAGTGATGCTTGCCACTCTGCAAGGAGCATGCCTGTTTCCACCTTTCTCAACATGCTCTGTGAGACAGTAACAATAACAACATGTATGTACAGCTAAATCTCAAGCCAGAGGAAGGCAGCAGTGACTTCCTCCACCTCCATTCTCAAACTAGACGTTGTGATATCATACGCCAGGCTTTGCTGCACCAAATGACATCCATTCGCCTTCGCTATGAACCCCAATGCACTTCGTCAGATGTTTGGATCACGAATTTTGCATCGCTGCTTTAGAAATAACCAACCTCAGCATTTGTTATCTGCTTATTGTTTCACTATTTTCACAATTTTAAGTTTCGTCTCTAGGTGGAATCGAAACGGGTATTTCGGAATTACAAACCGCTCTGGCAACTCCTAAGCCACGGATGCCGACATTGTAATGGGTAGTGGGTTATAAAATCTAACCCCTCAGATAAGGGCGAAGAACATAGAATGATATAGCGTCCCGGGTGCAAACTGCTTACTTTAAGAATCTCGCGGAAGTGGATCGAACAGTATTCAGAGGAAAAAGGCTTTTCCACGGAGAGTTGCTAGGAGACTGCAACACAAGCTACATACGAGATGCAGACGACACAATAGTAACTGCCGACAATAAATAGGAGTCGAACGACCTTTTTACAGGGGTAAGACCATCAGAAAACACATATTCACTGAAAATATAAGGAGGCAACGTAAATAACTGTGTGGTTGGAGGTAAAAACAACATAAAAAGATATAAAACCGAACGAAACGTACATTAACATGCTTCACAATACAAACGAAACGTGAACGTTGCGGCTATGGAGCCTTTATCAGCACATACTACACAAATACACAAAATCACTAAGCTGGTATCTCGAAGCAGCCGGGTCGATGGATTCTCAGCTATATTAGATAGTTGCAGCATTAGGAAAGTTATGAACCACTAATCTGGGTGTAGCTGGGAAGCGATGTTAAGACAAGCTAGCAAAAGAACAACAGCGATATAAGTTGCAGGATAACGTAAATCGATGAACAAAAGTACTCGCAGAGAGTGTACGAGATCTAGAAACAAAACATGTTGGAGGTCCATTGCAACCAGCCTATGATCGTTTGCGTATTCAACAGATCAACTTCATGGCACACGGGTGTAACCCACAAGTGCTCCATTCTACTTCTAACTCAAGCCTGAGTCTGGAGAATCTCAGCGCAGTGTATGTACTGCGTAACACCGGCAAGGATCCTAAAATACGTTGCGTAGATTTTTACTCCAAATGTTGCCTAAGCAGCACAGTTAGGCTACTCTTTTCGATTTACAACTGTCAAGGGATTTTTTACGTGCGCAGCAATATACACGGGCGTCCGATCTGACTACCCAAAGACCAGGGGAAATTACTAGAAGTCCACGTGAAAAAATCCCAGCCTTCACCGGGACCTGAACCCGGGACCTCCAACACTTGAGGCGGACGCCATGCTTCGAGACCACGCTGACCTTAATAGTCCATAATAGTGACCACATATGCATAGGCGACCGTAAAGATACCGACACTGGCACAGACACTTGAGAGAAGACAGCTTTAGACCAACTCCTGGTGAGATAGACAGTAAAAGACGGACTGACGCAGTTTGCAAGATGCCAAGCGCAACAAACTATTGAAGGGGACAGAACTGGGAGAAAGCAATCCTCACTAGAGTATCAGCGTTGTTATGTTGACTCATGTAACAGACTCCAGCATTGACGTTGTTTCCAAAACAACCAGTGCCTCGCTCCCAGTGTTGCCACTTTAGATGTTTTACATCCAGATTTAGATGTTTTTTGTCAAAGAAAAGTGGCAACACTGCTAGTAACCGCTAGTAACTAACGATCGCCTACTACACAGTTGGGTTGATCTCACGTTTTCTTCTTCTTCAGCATTCCGATCCCTTGAGGTTTATTGCTGCAGATATCACCCGCCTCCTCTCATCTCTCTGGTTGACCTTCTCTTTTCAGGCGGTAACACCAAGTGTTTGCAGGTCTGTCTGGATATTATCTCTCCATCGTCTTCTTGGTCTCCCTCGTTGTCTACGACCATTCATCTCCCTGGTGTATACAGTTTTTACTTCTCTGTCATCTAAAATTCTTTCAATATTCCCCAACCATTACAGTCTGTAAGCTCTCATGATGCCAGTGATCAGTGAAGATTTAAACAGATTATGAATTTCGTTGTTGCTTCTCACTCCCCATTCAGCAACTACTAGACTAAATATTTACTGGAAGCAAAAAGCAGCAATTAAATTGGGAAATAAAGAAGGCAGTTAAGAGCAGATAAAGCTAGGAGTGAAACAAGGATGTGTTTTATCACCGGATCTCTCTCTCTCTCTCTCTCTCTCTCTCTCTATATATATATATATATATATATATATATATATATATATATATATATATATATATATATAATGAGGGAGGTCAAGGACAGAAAAGAAATACTTGCTGGAGGTTATAATATAAACCATATTCATTTTGCAGATGATACCGTATTAACAGCTGAAAACGCAGAAGACCTATAACAACTATTAATTAGACACTTTGGTACTAGAGACTGCAAAAAAGAAAGTCAGGAAAGCAGAAGCAATAGTTATATTAAAGAATAAAACTCAAAATGTGCATAGTTATAGAAGGGAAAGTGCTTAACTGGGTCAATACATTTAGGTATATTGGGTAATTCAGAACATCAGATGGATGTGTGACAGAAATTAAGTGCAGAACTGGCCAGGCCAGGCGAAGGCAGCATTTCAGAAGATAAAAAGTGTCTTATGTAATAAATCCCTCTCACTAAACATCAGAAAACGAGTACTGAAATATTATATCGAGTCTATTCTGTTGTATGGTAGTAAATCTTAGAATGTGAGCAAATAAATTAGGAAAAATCTGGAGCAACTGAGATGTAGTTGTTGAGAAGAATGTTGTGAATACCTTGGTCAGAAGTCCACTGTGCGTGGAGTCACCTTTATTTTTGTACCGGGACACGCAGGCGTCGATGGAAATGAAAGAGCTGACAGGTTGGCTGGATCCGCTATCACTACCGACGGTCAGCCTATGGATCACGCTGATATTATCAATGCCCTCAGAGAACTGGGAAGGATATAGGACTTTGGTGGCAGTTAATCCAAATCAATCGCCAGAATGGCAGACTTGGGAATTAAGATCGGCACAGCAAAAAACGAGACGCTCACCAGACACTTGTTAATCAACATAGAATTGATACTATTAGCCATCGGACGTTGGGGTTCATACTGAGGGGAGGATCTGAGCACCTATGGACATGTCGGGAGTGCAATGAGGATAACCCAACTAACTAACTAACTAACCTTGGACTGTCAGAATAACTAACAATGATTGCCTGTAAATGCCTAATGAAAGTAGAAAATTATATATAACAGTGAGAAGGATACAACGTTCTATGGTCATGTGATGAAAAAAGGAGCCCTGGAAAATATCGTGACGACTGGAAAGATCACTGGTAGAAGAGGCAGGGGCAGACCACGAGAAAAGATGGCGCACGGCTTAAGATAGTGGTATTAGAGAATATCAATTGAGTTGATCCAGAACACCAAAGACCGAGAACTGTGAAGATGCATGAACTCTTACGCCAGCTGGCAAGGCACTTGATGAGGATGATTAACTCATTATGTTGTAGTTGTTATTTTAACTACTTTTGTTCCTCAAATATATTGTTTTTAACCCATAACCACTCAAACAAAAATGTATATTCTACTGTACACAGACTTTGGAAATTATTGATTGAAGTAGAAAGAAGCTGGAAGTTTTACAGATTTATATTTCTGCTTTCGTGGAGTCCGTGCGGCGTCTTGGTCGACTTCCGGTCAACATTTCTGATTTCCCCATGTTGAAGAGCCCCATTGAGAAACAACAACAGACAGACACTTTTCTACGTACCCAGCTGATGTGCTGAAGAACGGGAGAACCCACCTTTTTTTTTACCTGCTGTTGGCAGTTTCATTATGTCTCATTCTGCTGGGCGGACACATCTGATTGAGGGAATCGGCAATGAAGTCCTTGTGGGGCTCGGGGGACTTTTAGGGGGCCTTGTCGGAATGCTGATCTTTGTAAATCAGAGGTAGGTAAGGTAGAGTCTCTGAGAAGCAACTTAACTGTCTCCGTCGTTACTTTTTTTTTTTCGAGTAAAGTATGCATCAAAAAAATTATTATTATTCTATATTATTTCCATGCTCGTTGTGAAACTAAACTATAATAAAGTCACTGAAGAAAAAACCGGTTACAGAATACAGTGTGTAAAACAGCTACTGTAATTACCCAATGAAAGCAAACAATCGTTACAGTCCGTTACACAGACATCCCAAAACCGGACTTTTTAAAAAATGACCTTGGCTCCCAGGTTGACCCAGCCTTGAGTGGGTACCAGCTCTAGTCCTAGGAAGTAAAGGTAGCCGGTCTTCATCATCAGCATCATCATCACCCACTGAGTGTTCATTGGTCTATAAAATATAGGTTTAGCATTATATACCTAAAGGTATGGGAAAATGTCCTTTATTTTTACACCGAAAACCCCAGAGATTTTCAGGAAAAGATAATGCGGTGTATAACTATGTCTAATCTCACATCTAATTCAATGCTGTTTTATTTTTCATTCTGCTGAGCTGTTGAAGTTCATTGCTGAGATATCACCAGCCTTCATTCACCTCAGTAAAAGGAAAACAAAATAGGCTCTTCCTTTCACCTTCGGACGGTAGCTGGACGGCTTAGGTCGGCTTAGTGGGAGTTCTCTCCCTTAGCCGCATTGCAAACAAGGAGCAGAAAAGTCACGAATCAAATGACATACTTACCTATCATCATACGGTTGCGTGTAGGGTTGCGTACGGTTGCGTGTAGGGTTGCGTACGGTTGCGTGTAGGGTTGCGTAGTCATCATACGGTTGCGTGAAGGGTTGTGTAGTCATCGTACGGTTGCGTCTAGGGTTACCTATCATCATACGGTTGTGTGTAGGGCTGCGTAGGGTGTCTATCATCATACGGTTGCGTGTAGGGTTGCGTAGGGTTTGTGTTAGGGTTAGGGTTAGGGGTAGGTTAGATGTGAAAATGTTGACGTAGAACTTCCAAATACTGGGTGACAATCTGATGCTTGTGGGAGTGGCACCACTGGAATTGTGCCAAATATGACGGCAATAGCGCGCGGCTGGTGCCCAATCGGTGGGGAATTGTCCGTGTCAGTAGCATCCACCGTCTGTCGACTGTTTGAGTGTGTATGTGACTGTGCGCGATTATAGGGAACTACGGCGTCACAATTGTCACATCTAACGCTAAACCTAAACCTACCCCTAACCCTAACCCTACCCCTCACCGTAACCCTAACCCTAACCCTAATCCTACCCCTAACCCCTAACCACGCAAATTTATCGGTCATTAAAGCATACAGATCGGCAAAAACTAAACAAACAAACCCCAGATTTCCCCGCAACGTCAAAAGACAAACCCAGATCTGGGGGACACAACCAAGCATTGGCAGCCCTGATGCGGACCTCACTGTCTTGTTGATTCGTGACTTTTCCGCTCCTTGTTTGCAATGCGGCCAAGGGAGAGAACTAAGCCGTCCAGCTACCGTCTGAAGTTGAAAGGAGAGCCACAAAATATATGTGAGCCTTACAGAATCAAAAACAAATAAACAAAGAACAGTGTGGCTTTCCAATACAGCAGAGCAACAGAAATAAATTTAAAAAAAACCACAAAAAATGCACTGACTGTAAAATAACTACACTGTCGCAATCCAGTATTGTGTTAACAAAATTTTCTTATCTTTTAATATACTTTGCTTTTCTAGTCTTTCATAGCTTTATTGCAGTCACCTCGTTTCAATAATTCTATTTATCTCTGTGATTGGCCTTCTCTTTCTAGTTCATGTTTTCTTGTTTGTAGGTCTCTCTAATACCTCTCCACCTCTTAGTTTGTCTGGTGTTCTACCCCCTCTCCACCACCTTCTTAGTTTTCTCTGGTGTTCTACCCCCTCTCCACCACCTTCTTAGTTTGTCTGGTGTTCTACCCCCTCTCCACCATCTTCTTAGTTTGTCTGGTGTTCTACCCCCTTTCCACCGTCTTCTTAGTTTGTCTGGTGTTCTACCCCCTCTCCAACGTCTTCTTAGTTTGTCTGGTGTTCTACCCCTCTCCACTATCTTCTTAGTTTGTCTGGTGTTCTACCCCCTCTCCACTGTCTTCTTAGTTTGTCTGGTGTTCTACCCCCTCTCCACTGTCTTCTTAGTTTGTCTGGTGTTCTACCCCCTCTCCACCATCTTCTTAGTTTGTCTGGTGTTCTACCCCCTCTCCACCATCTTCTTAGTTTGTCTGGTGTTCTACCCCCTCTCCACTGTAGGTTCTGTGGTATTGCCTGATGATTATCTCCTTGCAGAAGCAACGTTACAACGGGTATAGAGCAAGTGGAAGACCTCGGAAAAGATGGAGTGATGGCAATTAAGAACAGCCTTACAGAAATGAACATCAGTCTTAATACTGCTCTTGACAGAGCTCATCAACGAACATTACATCTCCCCCCGACACTTCGATGAGGTAAAAGGTGGAAGAGAAGAAGAAGAAGAAGCAGCTAGTTTTATAAAGCTAAGTATAGCCATTATTTGTATAGTGCATACATATTCCTTATCCTTGAGACAAGAGAGGTGAAGAAATAAGAGATATGTCTGGGCAACCACTGATAGCAACAGTTATAAAACAAAAGATGGCACTTTAACTGGACACATCCTGAGAAGAAACAAGCAGAAGATCACCAGACAGGCACTAAAATGGGAAATAAAGTAATTGAAAAAGTGAGGACGCCCAAAAGAAACTCTAGAATGAATGTTGATGAGAGAGGCCAAAGATGCTGGGCTGGATTTCATCTATGATATTGAACAGGATAGAACAGACTGAATGAAGAGACTGTAAGCCGTGTAAGACATATAATGGCACAACAGGAAAATGAAGAAATGAAAGGTATAGTGCTCACTTTAAAACTTTTGCTTTTTTTAAAAAAAATATAATCAGGCGCAGACAGGGGATTCATCCAGATAACTTTGCCAATGTTGCCTCTACAAGAGAAATGCTCCAGCATGAATCAGAGGGGGGTCGAAACAGCCAAAGCCCTAGAGCAAGCCAGCGTAATAGTGGAGAACTCACGTGTCCTATTTGTCTGGGAACAGCCGTTTTTGCTGTGGAAACAAACTGTGGCCATATTTATTGCGGTAACTTTTATTTCAGTATCTGTATGTTTTACCTTTTATTTCAGGAACTATATGTTTTACCTTTTATTTCAGTATCTGTATGTTTTACCTTTTATTTCAGTATCTGTATGTTTTACCTTTTATTTCAGTATCTGTATGTTTTACCTTTTATTTCAGGAACTATATGGTCGCTGACATCATGAGGGCTAATTGACCGAAATGGCATGGGCAAATTAAGAGAATGTCAGATGACAGAGAGGTAAAAACTGAATACACAAGGAAGCTGAATGGTCGCAGACTATGAGGCAGACCAAGAACACGGTGGAGAAATAACATACCGACAGACCTACAAACACTCGGTGACACTGAGTAGGAAAATATTACTAATCACAGAGATGAATGGTGATGGGTTAAATCTACAGCTGTGAACCTCAAGGACTCAAAATGCTGAAGAAGAAGAAATGTTTACCTTTGGTTTCTTTATTTTCTGAAGTTAAGGTGAATCCTAAACAGTAGACACATGTAGTCAGTTTATCGAAAACATCGGACGGAGACTAAAACATGGTGGAAACTAATCATAAACTTAACATGGCATATGTCAAATTTTCCTTCACATTAACTCTTTGAGTCCCACAGAACGCATGATGTGCCGATTTTATGACTCTCTTTACTACCCTCTGGGCCTGTGATGCAAATCCCCCTAGGACTCAAAGAGTTAGGTCCCGAACAATTATTTCACACCATGTCGGGTTTTGCCAGCCCAAAACTGACATTTTCCAATAGTTAAAAATTTGGTCTCAGACTAACATTTCACACTGCAGCAGATTCTCTAGAGGAGCAGTTGGGCATTTTGGAGCAAATTGGTGGCAGAAAAAGATAAAGGCAAACAAGGAAAACAATGATTTTACTACAAAATAACCCCAACAACTGTTGGTGTCCTACCACTTCACATTGAGTCCCAAACAGTTATTTCACACATGTATAGACACAGCAGAAATAAAATACATGCACAGCACAGTGATTCTTCTAGGGTGACGAGACCAGTCAAGAGGAAAAAACCCTACTTAATTCCGGACACATAATTGACACAAACACTGCTTTCCGTGTGGTTTACCACACTCCGAACAGGAGACTTTTGAGAATCGCTGAAGCCATAACAAAAAAATCAACAACCCCCTCCTTTGTAAGCAGACAGAATTTATCGTACATTTGAAGTTACCCTGGTAAGTCACGTGGCTACGGTGAGCTTCCGGCGGCAATGAAACAGAGACAATGTATCGAACAAACTATTTGCATTTCAGTTGAATTTATTCAGTTTTGTGCTTTATTTTATGTTGATGTAAGTCTGTATTAACACTCCTAATGAGATATAAAATCGTTTGTGTAGACATCACAAGGGATGAGCACCACTCTTTCCTTCATCCATCTTGCCCCAAATAAATTATTCCACAGTTGGGCTGTTTGAATTTTCTAAAAAAAATGACATTTCCCAAAAGTTAAGTTTAGTCTCAGAATATCAAAATTTGACACAAGAATAGATTATCAATTAGATGCAAAACAGCCAATCCAAATGTATCATTTGATATTTAGAAGGTGCCTGCCTGTGAAGCTTTTTGATTACCTGAGGTACAATAATATATTTATTGGAATATCCCAAGTGCTGCGATATCACTTCTTAACTCAGTTTAGCTCAGAGTTTCTCTAATTTATGAAGTATTTAATGGGACATTCTCTTTGTTTACACAGGGCGCTGCATAATCACTTACTGGCAACACCAGTCAATTCTGGGGCCTGTTAGGTGTCCTTCTTGTAGAACACAGGTGAGCTGGCTGGTGTTTGTGTGTGTGGGTCTACTTCCGATTTTTTTTTTAAAATTTGTTTGCTCTTTATGTATGTAGTCACCACATGTAGTGGCTAGATGCCGGCCTACGGATCAGAAAGTCACAGATTCAAATCCGATCGGAGCTCAGCTGTGTTTTTCCCCCCCAGGTCAACAGAGCCTTAAATGGATACCAGGTAAAGTCCTGGAAAGTATATGTGGCCGGCATAATGTTGACCCAATCACCCACTGTATGCCAGTTGGTCTATAAAATATACGTGTAGCCCTATTTGCCCAATTCACCTGAAGGCTTGGAAAAGTATTCTTTCTGTACCAACAAACTCAACATATGTTCATTTGATGCTTCAAAGACAGCATATATCTATGTTGTCTTCTATCACAGACACATTCTACTTAAACGTATTGTGCCATTTCCTTCTTTTACTGCAGTTACCCTTAAAAAGGTGGCTGGTATTTTGTGTTGTGGTTTACAGCTAGGCTGTGATAGCTGCCTCTTTAAGCCCAGCACATCCTATTTCAGCAAACCCTTAATGGGTTATCTTTTACGAGGGAGCTTCAAATATAAACAATAGAAAGAGATATGAAGATAGAAATAGAAAGAGATCAAACATTTGTCAGGGACTAAAAAAGTAACTGTATTTTCTTGTTGTCTGTTCATTGTTCAGGTTTCTCTACTTTAAAGTAAGTGCTGAGGATATATGTACAATTTGACAAATGTATTTCTGCTTCTTCTTCTTCGTTTGTCCAACTGCTTATACCGCAAAGAGGAGTTTGATGTAATTTCCTGACTTTGGCTGGTTAGGTAGCTTGTGTTAATGTCATTTGCTTTTCTGTGGTGTCTCTTTTACTCCCTCCATCCATCTCTTTCCTGGTCACCCTCTTGCCTTGTATCCTGCTGTTCTCTTGTAGTAGACTCTAGCTGCTGGGCGAGGACTAAGCAATTTGATTCTTTTGTATTGTGTGAAATCGTTTGCCAGGACTATGCATGCTGTTGTTTTAGTTCTTTATTTGTCTCTCTCTTCTTTTTCTTCCTGTCGCTTTTATCTCATCACACATGTAAGATTTGACAATACCCATCGAATCAGTGCGTTGTGCTAAATGGAAGCCATGATAATAAACTGGCTCAGTCCAGAATTATCCAAACAAAAGACAATTGTTGTGAACCTGCAACCTGCAATTGCCCTGGTGAAACAGGCAGTAACTTTTGAATGTAGTCCGTTTTGAGCTTCAGCTAAAAGGATTCACTTATTTGCTTCATGTTAACAGTTCTTTGTATGCGCCTGAGGAGATAGTAAAATATGCCTGGCAATAAATTGTGTAATCTATTGTTTGTGTATTATTTGTTAAAATATTGATAATGGTGGCTGTTATGTCAGTAATAAGCACCTACTTTCTGTCGATAAATAACGTTCCATGTTTGACAGTAGTGATTGCAATGTTGGTTATAGTGGCCACCTACTTTCTGCACATTCAGGTGTCTTTGCTGCTGCTAAACTTCACCTCACAAGAACACGCGGCAGAATCAGAGGAGAGGCAAGATGTTATAGACAAAATCAACCAGTACAACCGGAGGTTCTCAGGGGCACCTCGAACAGTAAGTTGTTCAGTAGTTGGATTGTGGGTGGTTGTCTTCCCTCTACTGTTTGTAGGTGTGCATAATTGTCTTCCCTCTACTGTTTGTAGGTGTGCATAATTGTCTTCTGTCTACTGTTTGTGGTTGTGCATAACTGTCTTCCCTCTACTGTTTGTGGTTGTGCATAACTGTCTTCCCTCTACTGTTTGTGGGTGTGCATAACTGTCTTCCCTCTACTGTTTGTGGTTGTGCATAATTGTCTTCCCTCTACTGTTTGTAGGTGTGCATAATTGTCTTCTGTCTACTGTTTGTGGTTGTGCATAACTGTCTTCCCTCTACTGTTTGTGGTTGTGCATAACTGTCTTCCCTCTACTGTTTGTGGGTGTGCATAACTGTCTTCCCTCTACTGTTTGTGGTTGTGCATAACTGTCTTCCCTCTACTGTTTGTAGGTGTGCATAATTGTCTTCTGTCTACTGTTTGTGGTTGTGCATAACTGTCTTCCCTCTACTGTTTGTGGGTGTGCATAATTGTCTTCTGTCTACTGTTTGTGGTTGTGCATAACTGTCTTCCCTCTACTGTTTGTAGGTGTGCATAATTGTCTTCTGTCTACTGTTTGTGGTTGTGCATAACTGTCTTCCCTCTACTGTTTGTGGGTGTGCATAATTGTCTTCTGTCTACTGTTTGTGGTTGTGCATAACTGTCTTCCCTCTACTGTTTGTGGGTGTGCATAACTGTCTTCCCTCTACTCTTTGTAGGTGTGCATAATTGTCTTCTGTCTACTGTTTGTGGTTGTGCATAACTGTCTTCCCTCTACTCTTTGTGGGTGTGCATAATTGTCTTCTGTCTACTGTTTGTGGTTGTGCATAACTGTCTTCCCTCTACTGTTTGTAGGTGTGCATAACTGTCTTCCCTCTACTGTTTGTGGTTGTGCATAACTGTCTTCCCTCTACTGTTTGTGGTTGTGCATAACTGTCTTCCCTCTACTGTTTGTGGGTGTGCATAATTGTCTTCTGTCTACTGTTTGTGGTTGTGCATAACTGTCTTCCCTCTACTGTTTGTGGGTGTGCATAATTGTCTTCTGTCTACTGTTTGTGGTTGTGCATAACTGTCTTCCCTCTACTGTTTGTGGGTGTGCATAACTGTCTTCCCTCTACTCTTTGTAGGTGTGCATAATTGTCTACTGTTTGTGGTTGTGCATAACTGTCTTCCCTCTACTCTTTGTGGGTGTGCATAATTGTCTTCTGTCTACTGTTTGTGGTTGTGCATAACTGTCTTCCCTCTACTGTTTGTAGGTGTGCATAACTGTCTTCCCTCTACTGTTTGTGGTTGTGCATAACTGTCTTCCCTCTACTGTTTGTGGTTGTGCATAACTGTCTTCCCTCTACTGTTTGTGGGTGTGCATAATTGTCTTCTGTCTACTGTTTGTGGTTGTGCATAACTGTCTTCCCTCTACTGTTTGTGGTTGTGCATAACTGTCTTCCCTCTACTCTTTGTAGGTGTGCATAATTGTCTTCTGTCTACTGTTTGTGGTTGTGCATAACTGTCTTCCCTCTACTCTTTGTGGGTGTGCATAATTGTCTTCTGTCTACTGTTTGTGGTTGTGCATAACTGTCTTCCCTCTACTGTTTGTAGGTGTGCATAATTGTCTTCTGTCTACTGTTTGTGGTTGTGCATAACTGTCTTCCCTCTACTCTTTGTGGTTGTGCATAATTGTCTTCTGTCTACTGTTTGTGGTTGTGCATAACTGTCTTCCCTCTACTGTTTGTAGGTGTGCATAATTGTCTTCTGTCTACTGTTTGTGGTTGTGCATAACTGTCTTCCCTCTACTGTTTGTAGGTGTGCATAATTGTCTTCTGTCTACTGTTTGTGGTTGTGCATAACTGTCTTCCCTCTACTGTTTGTGGGTGTGGGTGATTGTTTCCTGCCACTGTTTGTGGGTGTGCATAACTGTCTTCCCTCTACTGTTTGTGGGTGTGGGTGATTGTTTCCTGCCACTGTTTGTGGGTGTGGGGGATTGTCCTCCCTCCACTGTTTGTGGGAGTTTGTGATTGTCTTCCCCCACTGTTTGTGTGAGTTGGTGATTGTTTTTGATCATCTGTTTGTGGATGTCAGTAATTGTCTTGCTTCCACTGTTTGTGGGTGTGGTTGATTGTTGTCCCACCACCATGTGTGGGTGTGGTTGATTGTTTTCTCACAACTGTTTGTGTCTGTTGGTGATTGTTTTCCCATCACTGTTTGTCAGTGTGGGTGATTGTTTTTCCACCACTGTTTAGGGGTGGGGGTGATTTTCTTCCCTCCACTGTTTGCGGCTGCAGGTGATTGTTTTCCTGCAGCTGTTTGTGGGTGGGATTGATTATCTTTTCCTGCACTGTTTGTGGCTGTCTGTGATTGTCTTCAATCTACTGTTTGTGGGTGTTGGTGATAATCATTCCTACACTGTTTGATCCCTATATTGTCCTATATGGCAATTGTCATGTGTCTACATCAGTCTCTCAGCTAAAAGTAAAGGACCTTTTCACACTTTCAGTACATTGAGTATGGACTTGTTTGTTTTTTAAATTGAAAAAAGGGACTATTAGCTCTTTCAGTATCAGCAGATTTTATTTTATATACTTCAGAAGATAACAGCCACATTGAAAAGAGACAACATATACTGTAGTTTATTTTAGTATATGTGGCCAGTATTCTTTAGCGTGCTCAAACCAAATGTAAAATATATAACTAAACAACTTTTGTTTTTTAGACACTGATTATATCTGATCCCATTCTGTACATTGATTGGGACCTATTTTTATAGACCAATTGGCATTCAGTGCTTGATGTAGTCAACATCACACCTGCCGCCTTTACTTCCTGGACATTACCTGGTAAAAATGTAAGGCTGAGCCAGCCTGTTACATTGCATATGATGCTAGATCCATATTTTTATTTACAGACCAATAGTCACTTGAGGGCTGGTGGTGTTATCACCACACCAGTCACCTTTACTTTCCATGATATTTTCTGGTACCTATTTTAGGCTGGGTTGAGGTGGGAGCCAAGATCAGTTATAGAAAAAATTCTGACTTGATGGTGATTGAACTCAAGACTTTCAGATCGGCAGACAAGTATCTAGCCATTTAGCTTTAGTGGTTTCCTCTTTTACATGTATTGGCAGTAAGTCAGTGGGTCTGTTCCTTTCACCTCCCCCCCCCCCCCCCCCCCCCTAAAAAAAAAAATAGAGCCCCAGAACCGATATGGGGACAATTGCCATTGACTATTCAATAACCTCGGGAATGCATGTGTTTTATACTGGTAGAGGTTTGTAAACTCTGTGCCACGGCTAATCAACTAGCCGCCTGAAGACAGAATCAAACCCGCAGAGGCCAGAGCAATGGCTAGGAACAAAATATTTCAAAACAAAAAGGACACATAATGTTCCGGAGTATCCAGCAAAGGTATGGCAGTTTAATGTGCACTGAATGAACTAATGCCATTTGGATTTGGCTAGCCATTCTTGGCATCGTCAATGGCATTGATTTCTGTACCTCCATATGGCAGTTTAATGTGCACTGAATGAGCTAATGCCATCTGGATTTGGCTAGCCATTCTTGGCATCGTCAATGGCTTTGATTTCTGTACCTCCATATGGCAGTTTAATGTGCACTGAATGAGCTAATGCCATCTGGATTTGGCTAGCCATTCTTGGCATCGTCAATGGCTTTGATTTCTGTACCTCCATATGGCAATTTAATGTGCACTGAATGAGCTAATGCCATCTGGATTTGGCTAGCCATTCTTGGCATCGTCAATGGCTTTAATTTCTGTACCTCCATATGGCAGTTTAATGTGCACTGAATGAGCTGATGCCATCTGGATTTGGCTAGCCATTCTTGGCATCGTCAATGGCTTTGATTTCTGTACCTCTGTATGGCAGTTTAATGTGCACTGAATGAGCTAATGCCATCTGGATTTGCTAGCCATTCTTGGCATCGTCAATGGCTTTGATTTCTGTACCTCCATATGGCAGTTTAATGTGCACTGAATGAGCTAATGCCATCTGGATTTGGCTAGCCATTCTTGGCATCGTCAATGGCTTTGATTTCTGTACCTCTGTATGGTAGTTTAATGTGCACTGAATGAGCTAATGCCATCTGGATTTTGCTAGCCATTCTTGGCATCGTCAATGGCTTTGATTTCTGTACCTCCGTATGGTAGTTTAATGTGCACTGAATGAGCTAATGCCATCTGGATTTGGCTAGCCATTCTTGGCATCGTCAATGGCTTTGATTTCTCTACCTCCATATGGCATAGCGCTGTTTGATAAAATAGTTCCCCGTGTGGAAATCGGGGCCATACTCCTGCAGATCATTGCCTGTTGTATTATTGATCTTTCTTGTGCTGCTTTATCATACGGAAGAGAAGTACGTAAGGCACTAGATAGAACAAGACAGAAAGATAACATCAGAGAAACTTTACAACAGCATAATGTGTCGTGACGGAGCCTGACTTTTTTCAAAAAACCACCTTGACTTCCAGGTTAACCCAGCCTTGAGTTGGTACCAGGTGCAGTTGTGGGAAGTAAAGGGGGCCAGCATGATGCTGACCACATCACCCACCAAGTGCCGATTGGTCTATAAAAATATAGACCTAGCCCTATATTCCCAATACGCCTAAAGGCGTGGAAAAGGGACCTTTATTTTACTTACCATGTGTCTACGGTCCAGGTGACCAGATGAGCCAGAAGCAAAACTTTTATCTCTCTCGATACCCAAAACAGTAAAAGAGGAAATAAGGAAGAAGGTAGAAGTAAGCAGTGGCATGAAAAAACTGAAGTTGTTAGATAAACTATCTAACTGTTAAAATAGGTTTTAACAGTAAAACTTTGATTAACCGTCACCTGTTTAACCTTGTCTGTTTATGTATTATACACTCTTAAAGGATTTAATTTTCATTTTTATCCCAAGCCTGCAGTGAAATCATGTTACTGTACATAGGAATTAAGAGATTTATGTTGTCCATCTGTTCAGTTATCTGTCACGGTCCTGGTACAGACGGTGACGGTTAATCTGAGTTTTACTGTACTTTGCTGAAAAATTTAATATAATTGTTGTATGAAAAATATAATTGTTGTATGAAAAATATAATTGTTGTATGATAAGTATAATTGTTGTATGATAAGTATAATTGTTGTATGATAAGTATAATTGTTGTACGACATTTGTTATTATTTCAGATTCAAGAATACTTCCAGGACCTGCCAACTTTGCTACGACATGCCTTTCATGAATTCTTCAGCCTTGGTGGATTGATGTGGATGTTTAGGTTTCGGATTGGTATTTTGGTCCTTGCAGCTTTCTTGTACTTAATCTCCCCGCTGGACATTCTGCCTGAGGGTGCCTTAGGAATCGTGGGGTTTCTAGATGATATTTTTATAATTTTTCTTGTGGCGATTTATATAAGCATTATCTATAGGCAGGTTGTTGCTTCAAGAGGGACATAAAGGAGGGAAAAAAAATATTTATAGAAATTTCTCTAGATGTTTATGTGACGATTTGAAGGACATTCTAAGGGAACAGAAAAATGGTTAGTCTTCAAGTAAAAAAAAATTTTTTTAGTGCAATGGTTGCTTAATTCTGAAAGATTTCTGCTTACTTGTCTTGATTAGTTCAGAATTATCTGCCCTTTAAAAAAAAAATCTTAATCCTTGAAGATTTTGTGGAGGTGCCTGATAGGTCATCATCATCATCTTATAGCAGATCCTTTGCAGTACAAGGCTGCCATTGTGGCTAGCTGGAAAGCCATTTAGTCCAATGTAATTTCCCTGCCTCATAATTTAAGACCCGGAGCATTCCCAAAATCCTGTCAGATTTCTTATTCATGAACCCCTGCTTCTTTCTCTGGGATGTTGGTTCCCAGTTACCTAAATCCCACGGACTCCTTTTATTTTTTTACAGGTCTGCCATGGACCCAAACTTTTCAGATACACAAAAAATATAATTTTTTATTGGAATTGTAACAAGGATTGAATTATTATTATTCTCAGCGTTCACTGGCTATAAACTTTGGTGGAAACTTCTAGATGTTTATCCACTTCAGGACTTTTAATCTTTTTCCAGAACTTGAATTTTGTGTGCACATACGTTTTACAGATCTGCTCATTTGTATGCATGCTGTAGTTTCTCACCACTTAGGCAGATGTGCTTCTACTTCAGATAAGAATTTCTAATTAGTCACCTTATGACATGCTTGACAGGGAGACAGTAGGTCTTTTTTTTTTTTGGCAACAAAATTGGACCCCAGATGTCTGTCCCACTGGGAGGACTGAATTCCAGAGTTGAGGGGTTTGGCAAAATCATCGAGCCTTCCAATTTGTTACACAGACTCCCAGGAAAAACAGCTCCAGAACTATACCTTCTGTTACAGTTCTTTCTAAGTGAAGAAAAACTTTTGGACTATAGTTGCAATCATTTTCTCCTTTATTTCTATTCCCTTCCTGATTTTTGATTCCTCCTCGCACGACTGTTCATGGCATCATATTATTATGAATCCACCTGAGTTTCTGTATTATTCATGTCCCATTTGCACACATCTTTATATAATGTATATTTTTGCCCATTATGAAGTAAATAAAAGCATATAATTATCATGAAGATCAAATTGTTTTGTTTCATTAATTGTTGCATGTAAAAATTGGTAAGTTTTGTTTGGTCCGTGGTTTGCAAGATTACTTAAACACTATGCTGCTGGTCTCTGACTTAGAAGGTTAAGGTACCAAAACCGTAGGTTTTTGCTGAGGAGCACCTGGCCGAACCGTTAAAAACACAGGGCTCCCATGCAAAAGATTCAGGTTCATAGCTGTGATAATGTGAATTTTTTTCTGTTGGGGACAAAAATTAAATTCTATCCTGGAGAAACTTGCGTGATATCACTAGCCATGTGGCGTTAAATCTTCTGACTCAAAGATGCTCCTTACTCACAACTCAAAAATGGTAAACATAGGTAGCAATGGTGGTAGGTTTTGATCTGTTGTGGGCAGTTTGATTAACTCTTTCTGAGGTAGATGTCTGTGAAGCATTTTGTTATGGATAAAGGAATCCTATTTAGTCTACTATATCATATGCTTGATTTGAAGGAATACTGCCTTACTTTGATTTCGAGAGGGGTAGCGAGAGCCGACTGTTCAGTGGCAATGGCAAACTACAGAAAGTAGAATTGCCTAGTAAAGCCAAAAACAGCCAACAAATTCTGGATGTTAGTTTGTGAAATCCTGTCAAAAATATTTATTCGCTCATTCATTAATCATCTTGTTGTGCCATTAAATTCACATGGACAGATGGTCTATTTCTCCATTCCCTTCTTTCCTGTGAAATCCCTTTTATATCATGCATGGAATCGAGTACCTTTGGCCTCTCTCTTGAGTTTTGATGTTTCTCTTAGTTGTCCTCATTTCCTGAGTCCCTCTATTTCCTATTTAAGGACCTGTTTAGTGTGTGTTCATCTTTTCTCATGATTTGTCCATTAACTCTTTGAGTCCTAGATGGGTTTAGAGTGGATCGATTATATTTATTTAAACATTAAAAATATATATTTTTACTTTTTGTTGTTTAGTGGCTGAAGAATTAGGTTTAATTTTGTTTACATCTAAATGTAATTTTACTGGCCAGATGGAGATGTAGGATTTCTATGTGATGATTACGTCAGTTAAGTTTTTTGTATGTTACTGTTTATACTTGGTAGTTTTGCTGATTTTGTAATATGCTGATAATGGTGCTGTTGCAGCAACATTTCTCTTGTCATTTGTGTTTGTGATATTGTGAAGCGAGGGGATCTACATTTCATTTGGTTTGATATCTTTTCATGATAGGAGTATAAAGATAATTGCCCTACTGATGATGAACGAACAACCTTTGGATATTTTCTCCAGGTCATGCCATTGTCTTAGGAAACAAACAGATAATAGAATGGCAAGATCTGCAGCCAGTTGATTGTGAACAAACAGATAATAGATTGGCAGTTCTGCACCAGTTTGATTGTGAACAAACAGATAATAGATTGGCTAAGTTTTCTCCACCAGTTGATTGTGAACAAACAGATAATAGATTGGCAAGTTCTTCACCAGTTGATTGTGAACAAACAGATAATAGATTGGCAAGTTCTGCACCAGTTGATTGTGAACAAACAGATAAAAGATTGGCAAGTTCTGCACCAGTAGATTGTGAACTTATGCATGTCAAGCTAGATGTTGTAAGGATGTATTTAATTATTGCTCCTTATCTTTAGTTGTTGTTGTTTTATTTTTCTTTTCAGGTTGCCCTAATAATGTTTATCCACCCACTTCATTTAGTGGTAAGCTGGTAATTGTAAAGTATGTACGTAAAATATAACTAAGTGTATCAACAGCCACAGAGCTTATTCTGAAATCCAGACACTCACCTTTATTTATTACCTTCCGTTATACCAAACACCCTGGGGACTTAACTGTCCAACACAGTTAATTTACCTAGTATCATTTGAGTCACAACATCCCTTGGCATTCTCAAGGCTATTGTTCTTAGAGGCCATTTGTTTGTCTTTTGTCATTCCGTGGGCCCTGTGGCCATGGGTTACCAACTAACATGGTTGCTGTTTTGAATATGTCATTGACGTGATTTTTATTTTTTTTTTGTGTATTTCTTCATGTGTTTTACATGTGGTTTTATTGATTTATGTCATGTGCAACATTCACTTTCTATTTCATTTTCATTGCCATTTTTGCATTTCTTGTATTGTGAAGTCTTACTTGTCTTCTCTTTGTCTGATTTTATATCTTTCATGATAGCTCCTATCTTTTTGCATAGCAATGTATCTTTCTGTTTACATTATTTATTTTATATAATCTTCAGTTTGCCATATTGGATAATGCTTTTTAAATAAAAATTCTGATGATCCCTAAACGAGGTTCAGGCAATCATTTCCTCTCTTCTTCAAGTTGGTTCCATGTATATGTAAAGTATATAATTTATCATAATTCCACAGCTTTATCTGTGGCCAAATGATTGTGTCGTTCCTTTAAAATAAAAGTTTGCCCGGCTCACTAGCGCAGCTTTAAAACCTGACTGTGCCGCGACCAGGTGACAAACTCCTTGTGGTCCGGGTTCACACCCGGTGGGTAAGCAAAAGAAGCCACATTTCTCCTAGTACGAATACGAATAGTGTATTGTGTATAAAATATATCTAAAACACACACACACACACACACATACATAATGTCAAATATACGCTGAACATTTACTTTACAAACAGTAGCACTCAGAATGTCTGCTTCTTCTTTAGCAGTCTGAAGCCTTTGAGCTTATCTGCTGCAGATATCACTCGTCTCCATTCATTTCTCTGAGACTGGCCTTCTCTTCACATCACATTTTGTGGCACCATTTTTTTTGCAGGTCCCTGGCTAACATTATCTCTCGAACTTCTTTTATTTCTTCGGCCGTTCGTGGTCTACACACCCATTCCTCTCTTCTAGGTGTGTACAGTTTTTACTTCTCTGTCATCCGACATTCTTTCCAAAATGCCCCAGTCATTTAAGTCTGTTAGCTCTTATGATGTGCCAGCGCATCATGGTGATTTAAACAGATATTATGTGTTTACGTTGTTGCTTCTCACTTCTCTCCATGCCCCGCTGTTAGCATCTTTCGATGTTGTCCAAAGATTTGTCGTAAGACTGTTTTCGAAAACCATTAATAAGGCCTCATCTTTTTTATTTCTGCTTCAAATTTCACAGCCATATAAAACGACTGGTCTTCTGTTGTCAGCCTTAAGGCCGTGTATGCAGGAGCGGGTGTAAGGTAACTACTATTATTATTCGGCCCGACCGCAACTATTCGGCACCGAAGCGAATACTAAGCGAATATTCGGTACAGCCCTAGTGTATACCTTCGTAGAGGCCTATGGTCTCTTCATCTAAAACCACTCACAGGGAGAATAAAGAACAAGCCATAATACATAAAACGTAGTACAGTAACATTTAGTCTTGCGTTGGTTTTGACAGTGGTATGAGCAATGGCAAACTACTGAACGTAAAATGTGCCTAGAAAAACCGCAGCAGCCAACAAAATGCTGGGGTTGGTTCTGCAACATCTTGTGAAGAATATGCAACTAACTTTTTAAAAGTGAAGTAGATCTCTGTTTTTAAATTGTTCATCTTTAAAACTGAACACTGCCAATGCCAATTGTCCAAGAAAAATTCCAAATTTGATCCTCTTTCAGCCGCCCGGAGGCCTGCTATATCGAAGAAGGGTCCTTAGCTGTCTTATATGGTTTCCTTTTATTTGTGGTGTGTGGGCACACCTGATTTTATGGTTGTTTGCTTCCTTGCTTGCGCTGCGGTTGATTGTGGTTTTGTTGTGGGGTGGGTGTCCATATCTCTTTGTGCTGATATCGACGGGTACTATCTGACTGTTGCTGGTTCTTGGCTTGCCGTCGTGCTGGTCGCTGTGCTGGTTCCCTGTTTGCTGCTTGGTT